ATAACAATTTTTATATGATTTAATACAAATTTTTTACTCTTGAAAGAAAATTCTGCCATTTCCCTCTTGCACTTCTTTGAAACAAATGATACAGGGTTGATCAATTTTGAAGAACAACTTTTAATAATACAGCAGTATAGTAAATATTCCAATTTCTGTTCATATCATACCTTCTATTCACTGACTTAGCATTACGTATAAAATTATTGAAAAAGTAGCCAATGAATAGAAATAGTGACGTGAACAGAAATTAGGAAATTCCCTATCTACCACTCTTCATCAGGCTTAATAGAATTTAATACAATTTTTAATTCGAGTGCTCGAAAGAAAATTCTGCCATTTCTCTCTTGTATTTGTTTGAAAAAAATGATACAGCCAAACAAGAGTTAATCATGCGTTCAACTCTGATACAGTCACCAAAGTGATGCAGTACAAAGAAATGAGTGGAATGAAATAAGTAATAGAATGTAATTAAGCATGCAAATGAAAAGGGTGCTTCTACGTACAGCTTCGACGTTCGCCTTGGTGAGGTCTTTGTGAAGCTTTCTCAGGTGCACCAAAGTGAGTCCCACGCAGATCATGTTTATTGCGATCCATAGGACGTTTAATATGTAATGGCGGAATGGGCCATGGACCAAGGGACAGCTTGGTGCGTTGTGGCCTGATTCGGTGTTCGCAGCCAGGGCTCCACTCAAAAATGTAGGCCCCAGGTTAATCGTGATGCTCGCAAACCATATCATGAACGTTCCAAACAAAACACACTGGAAAATATCATAAATAGTGATAGTTCTCTTCACTTGAATAATCTTGCGTAAAAATTGCAAGCATGTAAGATCATGTTAAAGATAAATAATTTTATAATCAATTATTTACTTATTAGTTAGAATCGTTTGTATTACAAATTAGTGGGTGATATTAGTTTGTATTGATGTAGGAAAATATGTTGTTGTTGGGAATGTATAATAAGTTTCTGGCTGAACATATGAATAGCCTGAAGTGTTTAGTCAAAATATTATAAACAGTGATCATATAGTGGTCTCCATTTGAATAGCCACAAGGGTTTAGTCAAAATGTTATAAACAGTGCTTTTCACATGAATAGCCTTGGGTAAAAGTTTTGCTTTTTGAAAGTTGCGTTTTGAAATTAGTATTTAAATAAATGTTAAATGCACTGGTTGAACATGAACTTCAAAGAAGATTTTCGAGTCTAGCTCAGTTGTTTTATACAAAAACCCTCTTTCATCCTGCATATCATATATCGATAGAGTTTTGTTACATTTTGAACGTATAATCCAACAATGCATGTAAGCTTATGTCAAAGAAAAGAATTTTGTGCACAATTACTTGCTTACTAGTTAGAGTTGTTTGTATTATAAATTAGTGGATGACGTTAGTTTGTATTGATGTAGACACTTGGAAAGTATGTTGTTGTTTGGATTATAATAAGTTTCTGGCTGAACACACGAATAGCCTGAAGTGTTGAGTCAAAGTTAGTTGATGGCTTGCGATAGGTCAGAGAGGAAATATTTACAACGATTTTACATTTCATCATTTCACATGTATAAATTATTTACATATTTATATTATTTTGTTCTTATTACTAGTACATGCTAATCTAACTATTATGGGCTATTCTAGAGTATCCAAGTGAACTTATAAACTCATTAAACCCTGGAACCTTTAACTGGTCATAAATTTAGCAGGATAAAGTAAAAAACTTAGGACCTTTAATACTTGAAATTTTAGAAAAATAAGCCATAGAGTAGAAATAATGATGTGATTTTATTCATATTACATATAGATGTTATTTTATTC